TTGACAGGAAAGACCAGTGGCATAATTGGAACAGAATTTTACTTCTGTTTCTTTTCCCCCTGACCCAGATGGGACCTCCATGTTTTTGTTTTGTTTTGTTTTACTCATGATAAACAGGACAATGGAAACATTAGGTGTCACACACAATGTCAACTTAACAATGGTATGCCACAGTGTGACATACTCAGCTTTATCCACAGAGTTGTTTTTAAACACAAAGTTGAGGTAGTTTGTGTAGTGACAGATAGTATAGTAATAAATAACCTGAACCAAGGACGAGACAGATTTAATTCACCACTTTCCCTGTTTAGACATCCAAATAAATCCTAAATCCCTTTGGAAGGGCCTGTTTCCACAATCACACGAGTCTTTAGGGCATCTCAGAAATCACCGTTCTATTCCTCACTCTTAATTTCTCCTCTCTCTGTCCTACAGCTGAATTCCTTTTCCGTAGTTCAAGTGCATGCAACACATATTTATTAAAAATCTGTGGTCACACACACTACTGTTGTGCCATGAGTTGGTTATTTATTGAAAATCTAATGAACATGCCACCATATTTCGTGTTGTAGGTGTAAGTATGGCTCCTGATGTCAAAAGTTCTCTCTATTGTCTGTCTATAATCTCTCTCTCTCTCTGTCTGTCTCTCTCGCTATCTATCCATTCTCCCATCCATTCTCTCCTCCTTTACTTACCTACCATCAAAAGGCAGGTAGATAAATACACATAAAGACAAAGATAACATGGATTCTAGTGAAAGTGGAGAAAGGCTGTAAGTCATGGAGATCTAAAAGAGCAGCTTATTGGAACATTAATTTCAATAGAGACACAAGCGAAGCACCTGAGGGTACAAGGGAGGTGCGCTGTTGGGGGGTGATAGGACCATCCTCCATCCTGCAAGCCTTCCCAGATGCCCTTTCCTCCCCTGCTACAGCCAGATTTCTCAGAACTCCTTCCCAGCTCCTCACTGCATTAATTTCAGTCCCTCAAGCCAGCCTTCCCTCCTTCCCAGGGCCCTGAGGCCTTCCTTCCGACTGGAGTCCGGGGTACTAGCCTTTCCCATTGCCATCTCAGGAGAGCTTCCCTGGGCCCTAGGGTGGTCAGGCTTCTCACTGTTCTCACAGCACTCCATACTCTGCATGTCATTCCGAATGATTGCAATTAAGAAACAAATACTAGATGTTGGGTGTCTTTTGCCTTCCCCAGGATGTAACTCCACAGAGAGTAGGAAACAGGGCTGCCTTGATCACGGTGCAGGGCCAGGACCTGGAGCAATACTTTGTACATTTTTAAATATTTATTTATGTATATAGAACTGGGGTACAGCCTGAGGTGCAGGGGCGGTGAGAGGCTTCACCAGAGACAGAGTGGGGAGCAGAACAGGCAGATGGACGAAGTACACTGCTGAGGGGAGCAGCAGGCAGGAGAGGTCTGCTGCGCCAGGTGGTCACCTCCGGGGCAGGGATCGAACTCATGCTGAAGTGGCTTTATCTTCTCAGTGCTGTGCTTTAACCCGCTGCGCCACCAGGGAGGGCCGATATTTAGAATTCTTTCTTGCCCTCCTCTTCCCCTCTCCTTTCCTTTCTTGCCCAGCTCTCCTTCTCTTCAGTTCCTTTCTCTAATGATATTTGTTTCTCCCTGATCTGCATACCTTTTACAAGGCCAGTTCTGGCTGTCTCAGACTGGGGGACCTAACAGAGGTGCTGTAAGACATCATTTGGCGGTTGTCTGAGTTGCCAGGCAAAGTGTGTTCTTGCAACAGCCTCACTGGAAGTTGGCTTGAAATGCAGCCAGAGCCCTGCCCAGCAGGGCCTGCGTTGCAGCAAAACCTCAAGTGGCGTGCACATAAGCACTGATGTGGCTCCTAGGTGCCAAAGCAGGTTTTAGTTTGGGATTTGAGCTGTGTCCTCTCTGGAGCAGACAGTGAAATGGAGTTAGGCATGCAAGAGATTTATTGGAAGGCAATAAAAGAAAGATAAAAGAAGTTTTTTTTTAAAAGATTATTTATTGATGCATATAGAACTGGGGTACAGGCCCGGGGGTGAGAGGATTCACCAGAGACAGAGTGGGGAGCTGAACAGGCAGATGGACTGAAATACACTGCGTGGGGGAGCAGTGGGCAGGACAGGAGAGGTCCTCTCTGCCATGTGGGTCTGCTCCCCACCTGGGGAACGAACTCACACCGCAGTGGCTGTGATAGCTTCGTAGCACTGTGCTTTAACCTGTTGCACCACCAGGGAGGATCCGATAAAAGAAATTTTTACTTCAGGTTTGATATTGACCTGAGACCTGGAATGTCTGATTACTATCTCAGGCGGTAATGGGGAGGAATGGGAGAAGAAGGGGTGGCGAGGGACGGCCTCCCCGCAAGGCAGAGCTTACAAAGTTCTGGCCCACACAACGGGAGGTGCAGGTCAAAGTGTGCCCTGCAGCAGAGTTCTGCCCAGTGGAAGCAGGCGGGTCCCTGCAACCCTGCTGTGCTCAGTCACTGGCAGAGAGCTGCCCTAAGCCTGGATCTCTGCATGAAGGGGCGGAGGGTGCTCACAGCTGGAGCCTGTCAGCTACCTGCACACCTGAAGCTGAGAAGCAAGCTCTTGCTTTAAGGGGGATATGCTATGCTTCAGGTCACTTTGCAAGAAACCTAGGAGAGCTGGGAAACGTGTGGACAGCAGATTAAGACAATAACCTCTTAAAGGAGGTCTGACTGAACTGTTTATGTTGCACGTTGATTCTTCAGGGAACAGACTCTCAGGGGGCCTGGAAGACAGGTCCGCAGAAGTCTTTTCCTTAAAGAGCACAGGGAGAGTTGTGTGAATCAGTACTGCACCCCTGCATTAACAAGATTTGGGAGTCAGTAAACAAGAGAAGGGGGCCACAGGTCTCTGAGCACACCCTGCACAAGCTCAGCTCCTGGACGCCCATGGGCCAGCCCGGTCCAGCGTGGCAGCGTCAGAGACAGAGAAGAAGAACAAGAACCCAGAGGAGATGAAGCGGGCAGGGCAAGGGTCTGGGGGAGGGGGTCCCTGCAGGCCACGGGTTGGGGGTTGCAGGGATGTCTCCCCACCTGCCCTTCCTCACTCAAGCGCATCTGTAAGGCAGCCAGCCACACGCAGTCACACACAATGAAACATTTACACACATCAAGTTCAAGTACACTCTTCTCATATGTAATACAATTTTTGAAAAACAAACAACACAGGCCCATCTATTTCGCCAACCCTCACCAAGCTTGTATGCCCATGCCCTGCTGTTTAAACACATATGTGCATTCCAGTATACTGGGGTATGTGGGCCACAGGAGAGGCTCTGACACCCATATGCGTCAACCCCAAACAACAACAAAAATAGACAATCAAGCAGACATTCGAAAATACAGCAGCTTCACGGTCACTCAAACCAACGTGCACCTGCAGACTGCGTCTGCAACTGTCAGACCTGCCTCGGAAGACATTGCCCTTGACTACAGAGTTGCTGGAACCTGGGGAGGGAGGATGAGGGGGGAGCGGAAGGGGGGATCTGACCCAGAAGTCTTCTCTGTCATCTCAGCCATTCTCCTACCTCAAGCCTTTCTGCCAGATGTGGGGGGTGGGGTGGGGACAAACGTGTATGGGGGGGGCGGGGTGGTTACTAATTTGATTGAACCAGGACTTAGACTCTGCTGGCTTGGGTTGGAAGCCCAGCATCTTCACGGTGTTATACCTGCATGATGTTGGCCAAGTAGCCAGTCATTTTCTTCATCTATAAGATGGGAATAATTGCAGCACTTACAAAATAGGTTGCTGTAGTTAATATTTGTATGGCACTGAGAATATCTGTAAGGCCTGGAGCATCATACGTAAGTATTATTGTTATTCTACTCCCGGCAATGCTCCAGCCCCGGGGATCCCACAACCTCCCGGTCTCCCTCTCCTAAAGCACCCAGTACCACCTCCTACGCAGACCTGCCTGCCACACTAGCTAACTCTGCAGGAGCCACTTTTGACAGCTCTTTATCTCCCCTCCCTTTGTGAATGGTTTTGCAAAGGAACTTGTGCAGAACTGAGGGGCTGGGCTTCCCTGGGTTAGGAGACCACAGAGCCAGGCTCCACTGCCCACTGGGTCCAGCTTTGCTGACCACGCTATCCAGACTGGAATGCAGGGTCTTCCCCCCAAAGGCCCCTCCAAGCAAGGGCAGGGGCACTGGTCACTGCAAGGCTTCTGCCAGTTACCTTGTGGTGGGTTTGTAGGAAGGCTGGCACAGGCATTCATAAAATTCCAGGCTTGGTAGCTCCTGCACGCCCCCTCCCGCCGGTAATTCTTAATTCTCCCCCAAGACCTTTCTCCAGAGAGGAAATGCAAAACAAGAGCTCAAACTCCAACTCAGCTCAAAGCCGCAGGTCGAGGCAATTCTTTGCCTGTGAGTCCACTCGCTTTCAGCGGGCTCCCAGGTGACCTGAAATTCAGAGCTATTCTCAACTGGTTGCCCCGGGAGAGTCAGCGCTCCCGGCACAACCTGTTCCTCCATGCTCCCCACTCTCTCCCTCCCGCCCGCCCTCCCTCCTCCGGGCTGAGCCCTTCTAAGCCCCCCTCCCTCCCCTAGTCCTGGGCCCCAGCTGCGCCCTCCCGGGAGACACCCGCTGCCACAATCCCGTAGGAGGGGCGGAGGTGGAGGAGGGGAGGGGAGGGAAAGTGGGGGGGGGGCGGGGAGCCTGCGGGTGGAGGCCCCGCGCTGCGACGCAACAGCCAGAGAGGGGCGGCTGAAGGTTGCATCTGCTGGAAGGAGGCTTCTGGCTGCTTGGTAACGGGCTGCCAGAGCCGAGGAAAGGCAGAGAGCAGGGCAGCGGCTTCTTGACGTCAGGACCAAGCGAGGGGATCGCGCCTGCAACCTTGCAACCTCCGCGCTTCCCGTGGTGGGACCAGAGGACCGAGGGAGCAGGGTCCGAGGCGAGGCGCCCAGAGGGGTGTGAGTGGGGGCGCGCCGGAGCAGTTCCCAGGCGCAGTATGTCCCCTGCCCCCTGGCCATGGAGATCTCCCCGGTGCCACTGGAGAACGGCGTTACCATGACCGTCAAAGGAGGAGGTGAGGCCCGGGCAGGAGGCTGTGAACGGGCTACAGTAGCGGGAGAGCTCCACGGTCCCCCGACGCCGACGGCGGCGGGGCTCCAGGATGGGCCCAGACTGCGGGAGCCCAGGGGGCGCGACCCGCAGAGGGGCGCGGATCCTAGAGGGCGCCCTTTGCCACCGCTCCCCCCGGAGCCTCGGCAGCCTGGAAGGCTGCCCCCGGAAGACCAAGACGGAGAAGGCGACCCAGCCCTGGGCATGGTGGCAGAGCGGGCGATGGGCGCGGGGACCCTTCACCACCAGCGCGTCCTCATCAACATCTCGGGGCTGCGCTTCGAGACGCAGCTGGGCACCCTGGCACAGTTCCCCAACACCCTCTTGGGGGACCCCGCCAAGCGCCTGCGCTACTTCGACCCCCTGAGGAACGAGTACTTCTTCGACCGCAACCGGCCCAGCTTCGACGGCATCCTCTACTACTACCAGTCGGGGGGCCGGCTGCGGAGGCCCGTCAACGTCTCCCTGGACGTCTTTGCCGACGAGATCCGCTTCTACCAGCTGGGAGAGGAGGCCATGGAGCGCTTCCGGGAGGACGAGGGCTTCATCAAGGAAGAGGAGAAGCCCCTGCCCCGCAGTGAATTCCAGCGCCAGGTGTGGCTTATCTTTGAATACCCTGAAAGCTCCGGGTCCGCGCGAGCCGTCGCCATCGTCTCGGTCTTGGTCATTCTCATCTCCATCATCACCTTCTGCTTGGAGACCCTGCCCGAGTTCAGGGATGAGCGCGAACTGCTCCGCCATCCGCCCGCGCCGCAGCCGCCGCCTGGGCCCGGCCTGGGCGCCAACGGCAGCCTGGCGATGGCGCCCCCCTCTGGCCCCACGGTCGCACCTCTGCCCAGGACCCTGGCCGATCCTTTCTTCATTGTGGAGACCACGTGTGTCATTTGGTTCACCTTTGAGCTGCTTGTGCGCTTCTTCGCCTGCCCCAGCAAGGCTGAATTCTCTCGGAACATCATGAACATCATCGATGTGGTGGCCGTCTTCCCCTACTTCATCACCCTGGGCACCGAGCTGGCAGAACAACAGCCAGGCGGTGGCGGGGGTGGCCAGAACGGGCAGCAGGCCATGTCGCTGGCCATCCTCAGAGTGATCCGCCTGGTCCGCGTGTTCCGCATCTTCAAGCTCTCGCGCCACTCCAAGGGGCTGCAGATCCTGGGCAAGACCTTGCAGGCGTCCATGCGGGAGCTGGGCCTGCTCATCTTCTTCCTCTTCATCGGCGTCATCCTCTTCTCCAGCGCCGTCTACTTCGCGGAGACCGACAACCAGGAGACCCACTTCTCCAGCATCCCGGATGCCTTCTGGTGGGCTGTGGTCACCATGACCACCGTGGGCTACGGGGACATGCGGCCCATCACCGTCGGGGGCAAGATCGTGGGCTCGCTGTGTGCCATCGCCGGGGTCCTCACCATCGCCCTGCCGGTGCCGGTCATCGTGTCCAACTTCAACTACTTCTACCACCGGGAGACGGACCACGAGGAACAGGCAGCCCTCAAAGAGGAGGAGCAGGCCGGTCAGAACCAGGGGCCAGGGTCGGACAGCGGAGGCCAGCGGAAGGCCAGCTGGAGCAAGGCCTCGCTTGGCAAGGCTGGGGGGTCCCTGGAGAATGTGGAGGGAGCCCGACGGGGCAGTCGCCCCCTGGAGAAGTGTAATCTCAAGGCCAAGAGCAATGTGGACTTTGGGAGGTCCCTGTATGCCCTCTGCCTGGACACGAGCAGGGAAACGGATTTGTGAGGAGGCATCTGGACAGACAGCCGCAGTAGGTGGAGACAGCAGCGGTCTCCTGAACCTGGACATCTACTTTATGCCACCGAGTATTCAGCCCGCCCTGAAACCTAGGGCTGCCCCTCTTCTTCCTTCCCTTCCCTCTCTCCCTCCCTCCTTTGCTCCCCATTTCCCTCTTCTTTCCATTACACCAAGGGTCGCCTATTTTTAAAAAGTATCACATTCCATGACGCAGGAGCTGTTGAAATGGTGAGCACTGTGAGATGGATGTATTTGTAGCCAGTTTCCTATACCCCCGCAGAGGGATAACCCAAACAAAAATGACTTTAAATAGCCCAGGTCCCAAGAGATTTTGTAACCCCCCCCCACCCATGTGTTCCAAATTTGCTTTACATATTATTCTTTTTTGTGTATAGGGGGAAATACTATTTTTATGGCTGGTGAGTGGATTTTGTACTGTAGTTCAGATGGAGATATTTTGGATATACTCAAGACATATGTTGTATTTATAAGAGAGAGTGGTTGTGATGTTTTTCTGTGATACTTATATTAGAACCAGAGACCTTAGTAGGACTGTTCTGGTTCCTGTGTCTGCAAGCCTCTCTCTTCTGGGATATGGTTATCAGTGCTTTGTATCTAGGGCAAGGAATCTTCTAGAAGAAAGCAAGCCTGACTCTTTCTGTGCGCCTTAAACAATTCTTGTAACTTTCTTCAAAGCGCATTTTGCTGCTGTTGAAGGAAGGGCTTTTGATCGTTCATTCCCTTTGTTTTTATCGCAGGCAATAAAATGTTATTTGGTTGAGGCAAGAGTTAAGTTTTCTGCAGCTAGAGTAATTTTTGAAAATTTAAAAAATAGTTGATCACTTGATGAATGCTGGTTTTGGCGTCAGTACGAACATCACCTTGACTAGGAGAGAAAATTTAGATAGCGAAGGATCTGATCCACACCTTTTGGATGAGTCCTCCCTGGTGAACTGTGTTGTGTGAGGCTGTGCAGGGCACAGACACACCTCCACGCGCCATCTGGGGTTGCGGAGCAGGACCCAGCATCACAGTCCATATTCAGTGTGAACGCTGTAAAACACCAAGGGTACCCTTGTCTGGGTCTCAGAAGGCCTCTTGGTCTGCACTCTGACCCCACTTAACCTGGCTTTCTCCATGACTGAGCAACAAGTCTGGTTCTCACAGACATGAAACCTGCTGACCAAAGTAAGCCCTGGGGGGAAGTCCTGGAGCTGTGGGGGGATCAGCTCCTGACTGCAGACTCCATTCCACTTCCTGGGGGGTGGGGGATTTCGGGGAGAGCCCAGGTAGGGAGAGGCCACATGGGAGGATTTGCTGTTCACATTAAAGGGTCTGCAGATGGTGACCTTGCTCTGTGTCATCCTGATATCCTGATACTCAGACCGAAGCCTTCTCCTTGTCATGGAGTGGTTTGTGGCAAAGCATCCAGGTGGCAAAGGCTCCCCCCTTCCTCCCTCCCCCGCCTGCACTTTCCCTCTGGGTTTACTAGTTCTCCACATGGGTTCTGGACACCTGCTGTTGCTTTTTCTGCTGAATGATTCAAAGACTGGTTGTTGTACATCCTTCCACGGTGGGGGTGGGCTGGCTGTCCACAGTCCTCCCTACCCCCCACCAATCCACCAGGAGCTGGTCCCAAGGGTGCACCGGGTCTCTGGGGTGAGGGAGGATTTGCGAAATAGCTGTCTGGGAATTGTAGATTTAAATAAGACACTGACACAATAGAAACCAGAGTCTGGGCCAGCCCAGTCATTTCCAGTCAGCAGATCTGAGGAGGAAACAGAAAGACGGTGCCCGCAGCTCTGTTGTTTCTTGTCACATGCCTGAGCAAAGGAAGAAGAGCAGAGCCACGTTATTTATTTATACTTTACACCCTGCTGAAAAACGGGGCACCTTGCCAAAGCTCACCCCACAGTCTCACTTCCAGGCCCTCTATGGCATTGACACTAATGGTGATTAGCACATGCCTTGTGGTTGGGGATGGGTGACCCCCAGAGCTTCCTTGGAGACCAAGGAGAAGCTGCCACCTCCATCCAGAACACCACTCCTTTAGACTTAAGCAACAGAGAGAGGGCAATGCCGGGCCTGATTTGTATCCAGGTACCTAACACATGGTGAGTCCGAACAGAACAGACAGCATCTTTAACTTGTAGGTGGGTACAGAGGAAGGGAGTGAGCTTTCCTGCTTTGTTTGGAAGAAGGGGAAACCCCAGAGCAGATATGCAAAGGGGAACAAGGGGGTTCCAGAGAGACCCAAGCCAGTAGCAGGTAGCTGCAGCTACCTACCCTGGAGCACCCTGGGAAGGGCACCCTCTGGGCGCTGAAGAATTTGCTTCTCTCTGGCTGTGGCGGTGACTCGGGGAAGAGACTCCACTCAGTGCCTTTTCACTGCTTCGCAGGGACAGAACCTGAATGTCAAGTCTCTTCTCCAGGCTGCCCCAGGCAAAGACCCCCTCTCAGTCCTCCCCCACCTTCCCACAGGTTTTACCTTCCCCAGGAGGTTAGACCCAGGGGCCTCAGTCAAACTTTTCATCCAGATGTTGCCTCTGGGCTTCCCAGCAGAGAGTCGCTGGCCAGCTTGGGCTGGGACAGGATGCAGGGGGACAACTGGCTCACTTGCGTCTGTGCAAGGGCAGTGTCCCACTGCAAAGCACCTGGAGTCTCCTTCCTGATTTGCCTTTTCCTCCTCTTGCTCCTAGCTTCATCGGACCCTGAGCAACGACAGGTTTAGGGGGAATAGGTCTGTATTCCTTAAAAGCCCAGCTCCTGCCAGGACTCTCCTTGGTGTCATAAAACACCAGCCCTGGAGAAATCTTTCTGGGGAGCCCGGTCTTGAGTTATTCTAGTGTGAATGATATGGGCACCTCCAGGCTTGGAAGCAAAGGGCTTCCCTGGGTGCTGGGGCCCCCGGCCCCAAGTCTCTAGCACGGGCAGGCTGTGTATCAGGAGTGTGACCCTGGCTCAAGTTCAAGGCTCTTCTCTGGATGTGGACAGAGCAGCTTGTATCTGTTTAACAGCTACTCTGGGCCCAGCCGCCTTGGTGTGCTTGGGGATACTGGACATGCATCAGGATGTGACCCTGCCTTCCAAGAGCTGTGTCCCTGGGGCGCAATCTGTGTCAGTCAAGTGTATCATGCAAGTCCATGTGTGCTTAAGCACTGTGGAAGCAGTTCCAGAATGAGGGGTTATGGAGCAAGGGTGGGGATGTGAGAGGAGGGGTCGAGCTGTAAAACTTCTGGAGCAGAGAGGAGGACATTCAGGCCGAGGGGCGTGGGAACAACGGGCAGATTAGCTGCCCCGTCCCCTCTCCATCGCTGGGGAGTGGACAAGAGCGTTAAGGGGGTGCTGCTTTCCTGGACCCACCACTGTGGGAGTTCTGTGTCCGCCAATGACAGGTCAGTGATTTGTTTATGGCAGGGGGCTGGCAAAAGCTCTGAAAAGGGCTAGAGAGTAAATATTTTAGGCTTTATGGATGCAAAAGAAAAATTGAAGTTTTTTTTTTAAAGATTTATTTATTTATGCATTTAAGAACTAGGGTACAGGCCAGAGGTGTGGTGGATGGGAGGACTCACCAGAGACACAGTGGGGAGCAGAACAGGCAGATCCACTGAAATGCACTGCTGAGGGGAGCAGCAGGGGGGATCAGGAGAGGTCTGCAGCGCCCTGTGGGTCAGCTCCCTGGCCGGGGATCGAACTCGTGCTGCAGTGGCTGTGGATTGCTTTACAGAGCTGCGCTTTTAACCAGTTGCACCACAGGGAGCATCTGATGTTATTATTGTAGGTGTGTGTGTGCATAACCATTTGAAATGATCATTTAGAAATAAATGTGAGACCCAGCCCATGTGTGAGCCTGGGCCCTGCCTTGTCACGCCGTCATGGAAGGACGGGGTCAGCCTCACCTGTGAGCCCCTGGTCTGGGCTCTCCCTGTGATTTTACGCCCTCGCACTTGACCTTTCTTGGAAATGCCAACCTGGCTTGGGGAAGAGAGATCTTAGCCTAGAAAAGTCCTTTTCAAGAAATGTAGCTTACTCCTACCTCCTCGAGAACATGAGATTTTTCTAGGTAACTGCGGGGCTAGTGCTGTATTTCTAGTGAGAAGGAAGAAAATGCCCAACTGGAATTTCTGCCCATATGGCAGTGAGTTTTCCTGCGCTCTGGGTGCAAATGCACCCACTTTGCCACAGAACGGCTTTAGGCCCTTTGTCTTTTCCTGGACAGAAACCGCCCGGGGAGCTCTGAGGATGCAGGTGCCTGCCCCTCTCTGCCGGGTTCTTTGCTGCAGGTGGAGAGGGCTGGGCTGGAGGGTGTCCCAGCACAGAGGGCCTGCTGTGCGCCATTCAGTTGTGTGTGTAGCACAGGGAGGGGAGGAGTGGGGTGAATCAGCTACCACCACCACGACCTCCAGACGCTGAGGATGCTTGTTACCTTCCCTTTTAATTAGTGTTTACGTTCCGCTGTCAGATCTCACACCCATATTGTGTTTTTAGCACTAAATTTCTGTTCTCCTGCTTTCCTGCCACTCTGAAGCCCTCTCCCAAGAATCCTGGCTCAGCTAACTGTCGGACTTAGCGCCATCTCAAGTCCTTGGAGTACAATTCTATTTCTCATTTCTGGAGCTGGTTTTGGAAGGAGCTGTGATCTGGTCTGTCCCCCTCACTTAATTTTATTTTTTTTTAAAGATTTATTTATTTATTCATACAGAACTGGAGTACAGGCCACAGATGTGGAGGGTGATAGGATTCACCAGAGACAGAGCGGGGAGCAAAACAGGCTGATCGAGGAAGTACACTGCTGAGGGGAGCAGCGGGTGGGTCAGGAGAGGTCTGCCACACCATGTGGTCACCTCCGGGGCAGGCGGGGATCAAACTCATGCAGAAGTGGCTTTAGCTTCTCAGTGCTGTGCTTTAACCCGCTGCGCCACCAGGGAGGGCCAGTCCCCCTCACTTTATACACGAGAGATGGGGTGACCAGCCAGATCCTACCCCCACCTAATGCAAACGAGCCCTGGAAGGGTGGGCCCAGGTGGGCTCTCTCTTTTCCTGCT